CCAGTATTTCATGCTAATTTGCTCCTGAACTTCTTAATTAGGAGGCAGGTTGTAAACATCTTCAGAACACTCCTGAATTTACAAGTTAATTAGCATAAGCTTTTAGAGATGTGCCGTTTATAGTAAGATCTCTCTAAAAAGAGAATCTTGTCAAAAACAAAACCGAAAGCAAGCTAAGGATAAATAAAGCTTCGATTTGAGTGTATGCTATATGCTGAGTGTTACGGGCCAGTTTCCAGAAAATCTCTCAGGAAAGAATTGCTGGCTCTGATCCCTTAGATCTAAGACATGAGAATTACGGAATTCAGATCCTTGGAGATAAAGAAACTTGTCAAGTGGCCCATTGCTTGGAAATACACACACACACACATACATGTATGTATGTGTGTATGTATACATATATACACACACATATATACATATATATACACACACACATATATATACACACATATATACATATATATATATTAGTGCTTTTATTTAAGGAAAAACTGAGGCTCAAAGAAGTTGAGAGCATTGCCTAAGGTCGCCCAGCTAGATTCCCTGATTCTCTGTCACCTGGAGCCCTTTCCATTAAAACACAAGATAGCTCTCCTCCCCACCCCTTCAAGCCAATGTGATAGGTAGAGTTTATGACTATCAAGGAATAACAGAGGGAAATAGAAATTTTAGATCAGGATAGATAGAGTTTCAGAGGTTACATGCCACTCCTTCCACCTATAAAATGAAGCTAGTCTCAAAGAGGCTGAATGACCTGCCCAAAATCTCTCAGGAATTAGTGACATAGCTGAGCCTGGAGCATCTTGATCATTGCCCAGTGACCTTTCTCCTTCTCAAAGCTCTCAGGTTTCTGGTGGTATTTTAGGTGAAGCCACACCCAGAGAAACCACCTTAGGGCACTTCCAATGCTTAGTTAGGGTTCAGTGAAAACCACGCTGGAGCTTCTGCCCTCTCTTGGATGATACGCGTGTAAGTTATTAGATTTACTGGAGTAGGTTGAATGGTGGGCCCCCAAAAGATGTGTCCATATCGAAGCTCTGGAACTTGTGAATGTTTAGAAAAAGTCTTTGTAGATGTGATTAATGTAATGATTGACATGGGATCACCATGGAAGATATGGGTGGGCCCTAAATCCAATGATAAGTGTCCTCACAGAAAGGCAGAGGGGGGGTTGACAGAGAGAGAAGAGAGCCACGGAAGAGAAGGCCACGTGAAGATGGAGGCAGAAATTAGGCTTATGCTGCCACAGCCACTGGAAGCTGGAAGAGATAAGGAAGCATTCTCCTTTAGAGCCTTTGGAGAGAGCGTGGCCCTGGCCATGACGTTGTACTTCTGGCCTCCAGAACTGTGAAAGAATAAATTTCTGTTGTTTAAGGCCACCACTGTTATATCACAGAAAACTAATGCCTTTAAAATCTCTAAGGATAAAATCGATCAGGAAAAAAACAAAAAACAAAAAGCCCAAGAATCACAGAATAAACAAAATGTGGTATATCTATAAAATGGAATATTATTCAGCCATAAAAAAGGTGATTCTGATACGTGCTACAACACGGATGAACTTTGAGGAAGTTATGCTAAAACGGTCGAGTCACAAAAAACAAATAGTGTATGATTCCACTTATATGAGACACTTAAAGTAGTCAAATTTATAGAGACAGAAATTCATAGGTCACTGCCAGGGGCTGGGGGAAGAAAGGAATGGGGAGTTATTATTTAATGAGCACAGAGTTTCAGTTTTATAAGATTAAAGAGTCATGGAGATGTTGGTGGTGATGGTTGTACAACATTATGAACGTATTTAATACACTGAACTATAAACTTAAAATGGCTAAAACGGTACATTTTATGTTATGTGTATTTTACCATGATAACAAAATTTCGGGGGAAAAAAAACAAAAAAGAATTGCAATATTTATAATAAATCTGTAACCATAACGTTTCGCCAGCGGGGTCAGGGAATGAGAGGCAGAGGGGAAGAAGGCGCAGGGTGTGGAGCCCAGGCCTGAGCGACTGGTTACCAGGCCAGACGGACATGCCAGAGCACTATCCACGCGGGACATGTTCCTAGACCACACGGCCATCTGGGGAGGTCAGCACCCCCACTGGGTGGAGCTTGAGTCTACCTGGAATCTTGGTGCAAAATGAAGTCCCAAAAGTCCCAGCTCTGAAGGCAGCATGTGGAAAGCGTCCAAGCCTTCGGCCTTCCAAACAGCCCTCGGTGAAACCTGAAGTCAACCTGTTGTGGGGCCTTTGCGGCCACAGCAGACGCTGAAATGCTTGGGCCTCTGTGAGGAAGCAGATGCTTCTTCAAAATGGCGTGTTCTTGGGTCTAGTTTTACTTTAGCCATTCCTTCCCACAGCTGTTGAACTAAACCTGAAGGTAATCAGCACCCTTGTCCCAGCCCTCTGTCTCCCTAACTCATTTCGGGGAACAGGATTCCATATGGGGACAGATGAGACAGCTGTTTTGATTGCGCCTTCCTCGAATGTGGCTGCCTCGAATCTGGGGACTGTGTTCAGTATCTTCCCCCGTCTCTTCCTACAGCCAGACATCTGGGAAATGGTTCTAGAGTTTTATTATTATTGTTTGGCAATGAAAATTCCCAATTGCTCCCAAGTCGACAGGTTTCTTTCCGTCCTGTGCAGCAGATCGAACTTGGGAATGCGGTCAGACCCTCCACCGGGCTCCTCCTGAGAGGACTGCTCTGTGGAGCGACAGGGGACGCATTCAGGGGACAGGCAGGGCAGCACCTGCCACCGCGTTTCGAGTCCTGTGATATGACTGCTGTGTGTGGAGGGCTCACATCCGCTTTCTCCAATAGCTTTTCTGGGGATGTGCTTCACCCTGGGCCAAAAACTCAGCCTTCATATGTCCTTGGGCTGACAATGAAAGCTTTATTGGAAGGCCACTAAAACTCCTCCTCCTACATTAACGGGGTGTGTGGAGGCTGGGTGTCCACTGAAGCCATGGCCACCACTGTTTTGTGTCCAGAGTTGTGCAGTAGTCTCTCCTGGCCGCCTGTCTTCACCTCGCTCCTTTTCCATCCATTAAAAATTGTTTTTATGTGTGTGAAATTCACACAACATAAAATTAGCCATTTTAAAGTGAACAATTTTTTGGCATTAGGGCTTTCGCAATGTTGTGCATCCATCAACCTCCATCTAGCTCCAAAACATTTCGTCAGCCCAACTGGCTACTAGTAAGTGGTTGCTCCCCATTCCCCGCTTTCCCCAACTCCAGGCAACCGCCAATCTACTTCCTGTCTCTGGATTTACCTATTCTGGATATTTCATCTAAATGGGAGCATACCATATGTGGCCTTTTGAGAAAGGCTTCTACTTAGCATGATGTTTTTAAGGTTCATCCATGTTGTCGCATGTGCCAGAATCCCTTCCTTTTAAAAGCTGAACGATATCGCATTGTTTGTATACACATTTTGTTCATCCATTCATCTGTGGAAGCTGGGGTGTCTAGAGCTGCTAAGAACGTGGGTGTACCCGTATTTGAGTACTCCCACCCATTCTGATCCAATCCAATCGCGTGACGCTCCAGCTACAATCACTTCAATGGCTTCCCACAACTCTCTGGATAAAACCCGAACTCCTGAACGTGACTTTCGAGGTCCCCATGCTCTGGCCCCTGCCCACTCCTCCGGCATCATCTCTCACAACTGTACTCCTGACTTTTTGTTTCTTGCACGTGCTGCGCTAGCCTTCGCCTGAGCCTCTGTCTATGCTGCTCCCCCTTCCTGGAACACCTGTCCCCTGGGTAAGGACAACACTCGCTTCCTTATCTCCCGAATGCAGTCAGCTGTGCTAGGTCCCAGCACGGAGCCCAGACTGGCCATCTGTGCTTTACGGCCAGGAAGGCATCGCAGCTCCGGTTGTGAGGCGGGGATGGCGATGCTGGAAGCTGCCCTCGGGGGCCTCTGGGGTTTATGTCCTGTGTCTCTGAAACACGCCCTGCCAGAAAGCTTGCACGTGGTTACATGGATCAAGTGCCCTGGTGTCTGTCGAGGTGACGTGACGAGCTGCAGGACCAGTCAGTCACATTGCCGACTGCGGGGCGTCCTGAGTCACCTCCTGTCAGTACATTCTCCACCCTGAAATGTGGGCTGCCTGTGAGGCAATCTATACTTTTGCCGTCAGAGTTGGTGAACGCCCCACAGGCCCGTGAGAAGTGGGGCGGTGACTCCCTCTGAACTCTGGCTCTGTAGCTCCACGGGCGGCCTCTCCTCTCGTTTAGGAGGAGCCGGGCTCAGCCTGGAGGCCGAAGCAGGCAAGGCCACTGCTGAGCAGGCAGGAAGCAAGCTCCTGGTGTGAGGCTGTCACACCTAAATGTGACAGGCATCAGCTCGGCCTGGGCCGCAGGGTGTTCTGGGTCACACAGGATGTGGATTTGAAGGGTGGAGGAGGCTACGCCTTCACCTTTCATCCCCCCTTTCTTAGTTTCGGTTCTGAAGCTCTGCTCCCCGAGTCCGTACACTCTCACATGTGCACCAGAGAGCACGCACGTTGTGCACACTTCATGTGTACCCGCACACACGCGCCCTCCCACGCACACGCACGAGTGCTCATGTACACACATGCATGCAGAGTCCACACGCAGACACACATATGAGCATTTCCGCACGAATACACGCGTAGACGTGTGGCTCTAATGTGCTCTTCACGTCCTCGCTCCTGACTTCCAAAAATAAAAATCGTCTAATATAACCCTCCCTTCCACATAATTCCCTAGAGCCCCTGGATCATTCTTTCCTTTCCCTTCCAATTCTCCATCATTCCAATTTCCACGTGAACATTTAGTAGAAACCGCCTGTGAAGATACTACAACATGTTTCAATCTCTAAGAGCTTAGTCATCTGCAACTACTTTCTTTCCCCCATAGATGAGAAAAACATGGAAAAAATGGCAAGAGAGACTCTCATGTGTTTCGGAGGGCCTCTGGCAAAAACGATGGTGGCTCTGAGGGGAGCTTGTCTGTCACTTACCTCCAGGACTTTCCCGGTGATAAACTGGTGACAGGCTTCACATTTCACCCCAAAAAGCGCCTGGTAGTCCTTTTCGCAATACGGGGCACCGTCCCTGCAAGACAAAAGAGCGTTTGGCTCCTGAGAGGCGGCCCAGGACGGGGGAGACACCGAAACCACGTTTCCAGCCCTCCTCCACATGGCAGTAGAACATTTGTCTCTCCCACCCAGCTTTCATATGCCTGGAGATCTGGTTAGACATGATCAAAATCCACAAAACCAAAGGAGCCAGAGAGAGAGCGCTGTGGGTCTCCTGGCCACACAGAAGTAACAGCCAAATCGCCACGCAACCACTGTGGATCCCTTGGTTGTCTCAGACCTAACTAGAAAATACCTAGCATCATTCTCTCACCACCAGGCTGGATGCGCTTCAGACGTGGTCTCAGCATTCATCTTCCTCCAAGGAGGCCCAAAGGCCGCCTTATCCCTACCACCCCCTTGCGCTCATAGGCCAGAGCCTCAGCCTTCAGGAGGCCAGAGGGGCCCCGGGCCTTCTCACTTGGCCTCTTCGGCCTCCTTCATGCACCTCACTGCACAGTGAAAACATCACTGTGTGCCATGGATGGACAAGTTACAAAGCACCACTCCCTGCAGCCCAGTTACCTGCTACTGCGCAGGCTTCGGCGCTAGTTTGAAAGCTGGGCATGTCTGTCTTCTGACTTTCGCTGTGCTTCAGAGTCCCCTGAGGAGTTTTTCCCTTTCTAATACAACCGTTTCAGCTTCACCCTCAACCTACGGAATTGGATTTCTAGAAGGTGGGGCCCAAGCTACTTTGTTTGTTTCTTTTGCTATATTCTTAAGTTAAATTCATTTACTATTTTTGAATAGGTGATTTATTCACCTGGTTGGAGAACACTTTCTAATGCATAAAAAGGTATATAGGGGAAATTCTTCCATATTGCCACTGGACGTTCCCATGCTCAACTCAAAAGGTAACCATTGTAACTAGTTTCTCCAGGCTACATAAAAAACAAAACAAAAATAGCTGGATTTCATTTACTCTGGTTATCGCCCACCCCAGCATCTGACTCAAACAAGAACCCGCTCCCGGGGGGCTGTTTTATGCTTCGGTCCTCACAGCCTCAGTGGCTAGGACCCTGTGTGTGTTTTGGGGTGTCTGCAAATATGTTGAAAACCTGGAAGGTTTACCAGTTCCAAATAGAGGAAAAAAAAAATTAGTGAAGGTAAAATAACTAGATGCTTCATTGGTTACAGTGGATAGTATAACATTACGTCAGCTTTATTCGCTGTGAAATTAGGCAATGATTAACATTTCATTAAATTTATAATAGGCAAACTATGGCAAACACAGAGGAAAATTCTTTGTAAGAGTTTCACAGTAAAAGTTTATATTGATTGTGGGATGTGAATGCCCTTTGTTATGTCCGATGGGTTGGGGTGGGACCCCCAGAGCAGGGCCTACAGGGGGCCCACCGGGCCCCAGCCTCACTTACTTGCTGATGTACTCCCCAGTGAGGACCTTCCCACAGGACTTGCACTTAAAGCATCCCAAGTGCCACTGCTTTTCCAGAGCCAGCAATGCTTGCCCGTTCTTGATATCTCTTCCGCAACCGGCACAATCTGGAAAAAGAGCAGCAGCCAGCAGTTACTCCACGTCTGTTTTGTTAAATGCCAGCGTTCAGGCCAGCTCTGAAGCCCAGTGCTCAGTGAACATCTACGTGAGGTTCATTTCACCCCGCTTTCTTCCCTGCACGAGACCTTTCCCAGCCATCTCGCAGGCCCCATCCTCACATGGCATGGAGACTTCGTGAACCGCAGTGGGTCCAGGGGGATAGACGTCCTTCATCCGTTTACTTCCTTAGGGGTTACTTAAATACCCCCTGAGCTCCAGCTGGCCCAGAGGATATTTAATTATCATATCTTGGTTGTGATTTTCAGAACCTTTATTAATTAAGGACACATGCGAGTGGCGAGGTCCCTCGGGCTGGATGCCTCGCTTGACACTATATACGTAAGACTTGGAATGCTGCCCATAGATCTCATTTTTTTGTCAACGGGACTCTACTTCCTTACCATCCTAAAGCAGATGTTCGAAGATTTGTCATCATCAATTAAATGGCTCTTAGTTCCTTAGGTTTAAATTCTCCTTGGCAGACGCCTATGAAACACGTAAAGGAGAAAGTGCTTCCTCCTAGTAAAGAATGTGGGCCTCGGAATGAGGTGGTTTGGAGGCCCAGGTCAACTCCTTGTTGGCCAGCCACGTGGCCCAGGCTGGTTTTCCCGCTCTCTAAGCCTTGTTTTCCTCATATGGAAGCTGGGATGTTATTAGTGCCTGTCTCAAGCCTCCGATGAGGATTCAACGAAATAATGGGTTTAGTACTGTCAATGGCACGTAGGAAGTCACTTTATAAACATTTGTTATTATTACAATTGCCATTATTATTCTGAGTATTAAGTACTTCATTTTTAGGGAAGTTGAGTCTTTAGAGGAATCCAGAAGAATGTAAATTGGTGCAACCTTTTTACAAGCAACTTAAACATCTACAGACATTTAAAACCAATGTACCAGTGAAAGGACGTGCTGCTGGCAGGCTGGCCAGGATGTCCCCAGCTGGTCATCAAAAGCACTCACGGAATAAAGCAATGTCCAGACATGGCCGCTTGGCTGGTTTTAACCACAGAATGGTTAAAGCCCCTCTTCTGACTGCATTGTCATGGCTGCTCCCTTACTAACGACACTTCTAGCCCAGCTTTAATTCTCTCCTCCTAGAAAAACTTATTAAGATGCCCAGTCACTGACCTGCTGCTGTTGCCTGACTACACCCAACCCAGAACTGCCTCCCCACCTCCTCCCCTCCCTTGAATCTTGCTGAAATCACCCAGCAAAAGCCCAACCCTATAAAAGTTCCTCCAGGCACCACCCAGAGATAACCCACAATGCCTCTGGTTGTCTCTCTGGCTGCCATTTGTTAAGTCAACTTGACTTTTATTTTTGTAACTGTAGATGTGTTTGTGGTGAGTTCTGGTCAATGAGTATTAATGTACCTTTAGACCCAGTAATTTCATGTCTAAGATTTTGTATGACAAATAAATTTGCAAAAGAGAGAGTGTGTGTGTCCCCTGAATACACATGCATTCTCTGTAGCATTTTTTTTTTTTGTAGCAACGACATTGAAAACAGCCGGTATGGACGTTCATGAGAGACCAGTAGTCATAGCATAGTCAATAATGGAATGGTATGTGCTGTTAAAAAGAATGAGGTAGATTTGCATGTGGACATGGAAAGATGTTCAAAATAGAGTAGTAAAAAAAGCAAACTGTAGGGTGGTATGCATGGCATAAGCTCATTAATAGAAAAGCAGTAAAAAAATAAAGTATGTGTGTTTGTGCACATACTTGCATAGAACATTCCTTTAAGAACGACCTAAAAATTCTTAAGACACTTCTCTCTACGAAAGAGGATTTTACCTTTTAGCTTACATCCTGTGTTGTTTAAATTTTTGTTTTGCTGTGAGAATGTAAAAAAACAATGAGTAAATATTTATAAAGTTAGAAACACATCTGCTATATGTTATAAATATTGCAGATCAGAATTTCTTTAAGTATAGCCCATTATAAGGTGAGTGTGTATCATACGGTCACAAAGCATTACATATATTTTTTAAAAAGCTGGAGCTTATATGTATGCCACCATCTCACCAAAAATCTTAAAAAGGGGATCTCACATCTAGTAGTTTACTATAAAGATAAAAATGGAAGGCCATAATGTTTGTATGTATATAAGATGAGTTGACAGTTTTAATCCAAGTTGAACTCAAATTTTTCTTTATTATTCTGATTAGATCATGCCCACTAGGTGGCAGTACAGATTTAAAATAAGGAAACTGCTGATTGGTAGAACTTTTTTAAGTAGAAAATAAACTTTTGAGATGGCTTTTCAATTCTACGACTGAAGCCAGTTGGGGTCAGAGAGACTGGCCTAGCGGTTCAAGGTCACCCCCTGCACAGACGTGAGGTCGAGGGAGAGGGCAGGCACGTGGGCAGTGAGAACATCGGCTTTGGCGTTAGGAAGACTTGGACACTAACCCGGGCAAGTTACTGTCTCTGGACCCTCACTTCTTCATCTTTGAAATGCTGACCTACTTCCTAGGTTGCTATGAGGGAGAGGAGAGACCCTGCCTCGTGCTTTCTAAAGCAATCAGAACACTTGGCACGTGTTGGGCATTCACGGTGGTTCCCCTTTTACTTGGAAGGGGCAGAGCTGGCGCTAAATATCAGGTTCCTTGACTCTAAGCCTCGCTCTCTTTACAAGCACATGGATGTCCAGATATTCCAGAGCTCCAAAAGCAGCTGAGACACAATCCGAGAGCAATAACAACCTCATTGATCAGTCTGCACTGAGGGTTTCAACGAACCAGGCACCATGTGGTTATAGATGTGGGACCATTTATTCTTCACGGTCATTTAGTCAAAGTGCCTTATAGTCCAGAGGCCTATGACTCACAGGTGGTGTCCTTTACTTCTCTGATCCTCCACACCTTGCAGTGTCCAATGGAGGGCAGACGTTCTGTAACTGATTTTGATAATGGTTTATAGAGAAGCATTCACCAAAGGCTGAATGCCTGGAGCCGACCAGCTGGTAAGGCTGGGCTGGAAGAAGAGGCTGGGGATGAGCTTCTGCTTCCCAAACCTCAGGACATAAATCAAGCAAGTCAACAAAGACCACCCCTTAGCAAGTACAATACTGGCCCACATCAGCTGATGTAAAGTATTCCGGGATATTCCACAGAGGCTACCCATCCATTCCTCTCTGAACAAAACCATATTCTCCATTTAAGCCTGATGTCCTGCTGGGCAAAGTGGAAAAAGATGCAGAGACGAAAAAGATTTGTGTTGGATTGTTCGCTCCTTCCGTGCTTTCCAACTAAGCTCCTTTATAAAGAACAACATGTCCTACTCTCTATCTTCATGTTTTTCAGCTGTTGAGAAAATTGTTTCCACATCACAGAAGCAGCTGCTGATAAATATAGAAAGCTGGTGATTGGCACCGGAATTATTGCCAAAGTCAGAAATAGGTGAATATGGAGCAGCGTCAAAGAAATCAAACCCCCTAGCGACTAGCCAGTATTCTATCAAGGGCAAACAATCTCCGAATGTGAAAAAGAAAAGCGACAACAAACATAAACACTCCGCCCCCACCTTTTCATTCTCCACACCAGCAGCCAATAGGAAAGCAGGGATTCAGCTACTCACGTCCAAGTTAAACCAACAACCAAATACACACTTGGTTTTCATATTTATATCATTTTGTTCAAAGACAATAAATATTCCTGAGAATAGGGATCCTGCCTATTTCCTCTAATATATCTTTTTTTTTTTTTTTTTTTTGTATTTAAACTTGGCATAGGGCCATGGACACCTGGGCTTCAAAAGTATTTAAGCTGAAGAAAGTGACAAATGGCTCTCAGGAAGGAAACCGGTGTTCCCAAGCTAAGAAAGATGTCGTCACTTGGGGAGCACTAAGATCCTGTCAGCCTGAATATCTACGTTCTCCTTGAGAACCATTTCTGTCTTTCTAGAATTTCTCATTTGGGAAGAGTAAGGGCCAAAAAAGATGTCTCATTCTGCGAAGATGCCTTTCTGGGGAAGAAGGCTGAGGACCTGGAGCTCTAGGAGAGGGAACTGCAGTTGCTGAATCCCCACGCGTCCCCACCTTCCTGGGCCTGCATGCTGCAGTCACGCCTGGAACCAGGAACGGAGGTGGACACCGCCATTCAGACCAGCTTCCCAGGTGGCATCAAAGCTTCCAGAAAATGGAATGGGACTTTTCCTAGTGTCTTGAAATAGCCTTGCTGGACTTACTAAAATACAAGAGAACCCACCTGATGACTCTCAACCCCTATTACCCGCTTACCTCTGAAATCAGAAATTCGAAAAGGCATGGAAGAGAGTCATCAGGGAGCTGTCTACGCAGCAGGGGTGTGGTGGTGTTCCCCCCCTCCTGCTGTGAGAGGCATCGGAGGACCCTGAGAGAGGGGGAGGCTGGCCTCCTGCTCCCTCCCGAGATGTTTAGTGTGTGGGGACGCTCGGGCCCTAGTGCTGCCATGGGATCCAAGAGAAGTTTGATGTTAGATATTTGGGACAAATCAAGTGGCATGTTCTGCAGAGTAGATGCATTCACAAACAAAAAGTTTGGAGCCTTTGACTCTGGAAGATTTGCAAGGCAGGAAGCTGCCGGAGTCCTCCTTGTCGACAGGCTAAGACACGTGAGAGTGGCATGCACCTGTTCGGATCCACCTGTGTCCTCTGGCTCGTACCCATGCCCAAGCATCTTGAAAGAACCCACCTGAGAAAGCTGCCTGCCAAGGGTGGACGGCTTCGTTAGTAAGAGGCTATAAGGAGACCACGAGGGAGCAGGACCCGCGGGTGGGAAGGCGGCAAGGGCCAATAAAACAGGTTAGCCCGAAACTGCTCACATTTGACAAAGAACTCAAGATGCGCCTCAGCCAATATTAGCTGAAAGAGAAGCATGACAATGCCAGAGTTATAACACCTTGTCCCTTCTACCTCTAATCCCCCTCCCACCAGCCCAGACCCCAAAAGAGACATGGGTAGGACAG